TGGTTGATATGTCCATTTTTTAAAAAGTGCTTATTCATTTTCTGCTGCTTATTTTTAAATTTGATTTAATTAAAAGAAATTAAGAAGCCCTTAAAGTCAAAAATGCCTTAAAARAAAAGATTGTTAACCATATTGTTGTATATACTGATATATATGTATATATATAGATATAGATATTTTATAAAATGGTCTTATCATTGRCCTCTGTCCTTTTGATATTATTTTACAGTTAGTTATTAATAATTACTTACATGAGGAAAGATTCTGGATGGGTTTAACTCTCATTTCTGCTACATGGCGTATCTTCTTTCATATACTTGTTCATGGCACTTTTTGAGGCTATTTTTTCACTGTCTACCACCCCCTTTCCTTTGTCTAATTTTATTGGCCTTTTAMTTCCTTTCTTCTTCTTAGACCATGTTATYTGCATCTCTGCTCTTGCTTAGCTGSAGACCATGCTGCTTCATTTTTGTTTTGCTTGTTTCCAAAGACTTGTTCCTCTATCAGTATTTGGGCAGCTCCTCAGGGCAGCTCATTTTTCCTCCTCTTAGCAGCTGATAGCTTACCTTTGTCCTCCTGGTTTCCTTGTTTGGCTCTTTAAGGTCAGCAGATGAGCCAGGGTATCAGCTTTGAGTGCTGGAGACAGCCAGCTGTCTTCAAACCATCAGTAATTCTCCTGTACGCCAAGAGCAGTAAAAGGAGCTGTTTGTGGAATATTGCCTTACAGATGAATTTACATCCTGAATTATGTTTTGAATTGTAAGATAAGGGGATACAGCTTTATAGAGTCAGAAATGTTGTGATATTGAATGTAATAGGAGATAGCCTGAGTTACATGATACTGAAATCTTGTGGAGAATTTTGAAAAGTAGGAGTTGGAAATAACAATTCCTKCTGAAAAATTCTCAAACTCTTTCATTTAAATTTTTTATACAGTCAGCAAAACCTCCTAAATAATTTTGAGTAGACTGCAAAACACTGTGAAATCATTCCCAAAATACTTTCTTCCCGCTTGTCTAGTTTAAGTGGAAAACACGTATGATTTCTCCCTTAACTTCATTTTTTCCTCTTTTTCTGGCCCAAATAACTGTCAGGTGTTTTAGACTTTTACATCCTGTAGTATCTTCATATGCAAGAAAGACTGAAAGTGAATGTTAATTAAATATCATAGGGGATTTTGCTATATTGTTATTTGGTACACTATAACCAATGTGTGAGATGAAAATGAGTTCTATTGTTCTCCCTAGCCTTGTTTTGTCTCTTCATTTTTACAAAAAAATTGCTAGTTGGAGATTTTGATTTTTTTAAAAATTAATTAGGAAATGGAAAAGGCATTTCTGACCTAGAGAAAACAAAATATTTAATAGTTTAACAGCCCACTTTCTAGTGTGATAGCACTGGTTCAGTATGGACTSTATCTACTAAAGAATTGTATTTTGRTTTAAAGTTAACATAAATKATTCACAATATAATATTTTTAACAGCAATATAAACTCATCATTAAGTCCCATAATTTTGCTTTAAAGGGTAATGAAGTGCTAGATTTAAGACATTAAAAGTACTAAGAAGTATTTTAAAACTACCAYGAGATAATATGGAGGGCGACTTTCAAAATATAAACTACAAAATATGTAAACAGTCCTAACAGGGCAAGCCAGATTGCATTGTATGCTTCATTTGTAATCAGTGGAGGTTCTGAAGAGCATCAAGTCTATATGCTGCTGATAAAAATGCCTGAAGGTGGYCATTAGGAAATGTAAGACACTGAGTCATCCCTGCTCATCTGCCTCTGTTGCTGATGTAGCACCATCCTGCATGTGCAAACACAGTGCTCCCATCTATTTAGGGCCTGGAGGAGAAGCAAAGAGCAGAGCTGTGCCATGCCTGTGACAGCCAAATAGACTGCCTAAGCACAAGGCAAGCCTTGTGTGATAGAGTCGAAGCTGGATAACTTTATATCATTAACAGCCACACTCAGCTGTGGCCCTGGGGCAGCTCAGCAGGTTGCGTGGAAACCCCACCCACACAAACATACAGTCAGTCATACACAAGCAGACAGTCTTTATTTCTTCCATTCAGAYACATTAGTGCTAGACATGGCTTAATTTGTTAAGTTGATGATTTTAAAAACAGGTATCTTATGATCCCTTTWTCTTTAACAAATAAAAATAACATGGTTATGAAATTAATGTATCTTGAGACATCTAAGGAGAAACTGTCTAGAATAGAGAGCACGAGTGGATGGAACTCCCTTTGCCTCTAACCTTTGAGATGTGTGGTTGKTTTTTGGATGGAATACTTTCTGGCATACTGTTACTCTTATTAATCCCCAAAGTTACAAACTCGAGAAAGTAGGTTGTAAAGCTAAGAAAAYTATTTCAAGCAATGTGGTTGATTTCCCTCAGTAGTACTTTTTGGAACTTCAGTTAACCAGGCTACCCCAGTTCTACCCACTCCRTAGAATAACATGTGACAGGATGGATAGAATAATATCGATAAGAGTTAGTAAAGGTAATAATCAGGCTCATTTTCCTGATGACAAAAATAGGCCATGCTGTCACTTGAGTAGTTTAAGGACTACTCTTCTACATTTTTTGAGGGACCAAATGTCTCTAGAATAAATCARTTTATAAATTTAATTTCAGCCTGACTGTCCTTTTTAACATAGGTAGGGTTTTATCAGAATTGGGTTTCAGTGGAAGCTCCTTGTGTTTGCAATTATGCAGATGGGAACTCTGAAGTGAGTGCTTGTGGGYGAAGCTGGCAGGACATTTATAGCACTCTTCTAGGCCTAGCATATGCTCTCCTGCCACAAGTAATATGTCTGAGCATTTGCAACTGCTCATGTTTACTCTCCGGAAATACATCTGCAAACACTTAAAATGGTAGAGTTTTGTTTTAATATTTAGGTCACATTGAAATACCTCAGATGTGGCCTTGTTTGCACCAGCRATAGCAGCATAACATGACTTTCAGCTTCTGACCTGATTGCCACTGTCATACCTACACTGGTTTGTCTGTTRATCTTTTGTAACTGCATTTGGAATGCCAGATAGAGATCAATGCATTCCCCGAAAAAAYGTGTGTCTTATGCTAGGCAATGGCAGTGGAATTCTTTTTGAAACATGTTCAAAATACACTACAGCGTACAACAGAAGTTGTATTTTCTTCATACAGCAGAAATCCTGAAAACAAACTGGTATAGCCAGATACCCTGGCTATTTGGAAAGGAAATACAAAATTAATGTAATTTTGCTGCATCTAATAACTATGCTGAGATTGATAGAAACAGGAAAAAAGGAAAGAAAATTCCTGACTTAGTAATATARTACTGTGCAGAACAAAGTTCGGGGTTTTTTGGTTACTATTGTTTTCCTCTCTGTGTCATGTAATGTTTTGCTTGATGCATCATGTTGGTGCATGATGCAGTTATGTTGGTTTGCACCAATTTTAGTTACTAAGATGCCATTTACTCAAYGTTTGTATCTTGTATTTGCATTTACAGACTGAGTTATGAAATATTTAAGCTAAAATCAAACCTAAAAACTCTATTGTATATYTGTGCAGTAGGCCTTGTGAAAAAAATCCTTTGATAAAATGTTACTTAATTTTCTTATGCACTTAGCCAATTATTTTGTTTCTACTTTTAATCTCATAGATTGAAGCATAAAGATCCCATTGTATTTCCAATATTCAAAAGACCATGTGCTGTGTGAATTTATTACTTTTGGAAATATCCCATACAGCACTAAATACTCACTCAGATTTTATATCACCTTAAATYAGGCACTACTGTAAAACAGTGTTCTCTTTGTAAATAGTATATTAAAACAAAATTATTTCCTGTTTAAAAGAAAGTTGATCAGGGGACTCACCAAAGTGGTTGGTGTGAGTTCATCAAAATTCTTCATTTCTGATCTGAYATTCATGCTTTTCTACTAGTCTGAGATGCCATGGCAGTAGGAGCTGAATTTTGATGGCCTGCTTTTCAAAAGTGTCAGCATTACAGTCATAAGGGATGTAAGGACTAGGATTTTCTCTGCAAATGATGTCTTCTGGGTTTCAAAAGAGCACCTTTTGTTTTTTTTGGTTTTTTTTTTTTGTTTGTTTTTTTTGAAAGTTCTAGCTTTTGCCTGTAAATAAAAAAAATAAATTGTTATTTGGCTGGGRTGATTTTTGCTGATAGTGAGGATTTTGATATGCACATGCCATGCATCATTACTTCTTTACAACTTAGTTGGCTGAATGCACATTTTAGTATTGTTTCKTTATTCCTTCTTTTAATCTCTAAATTGTCAAAGTAGACAGGGCAGAGTCTTGCTGATGACTTTCTGAGTGCTTGAGCTACTATAACAAACGTTGTTAGTCTTGCTCTCACTTGAGAARGAGGGAGATGACAGCTTTGACCGCACAATACTTTCAGCAATCATTTGTTAATTACATAGTGCTGTAAGCTCAAACACATTTTTTAGACTGAATGCAGGTTTTCCTGTCAACTATAACTTCTAGGTAGGTGTATGTATTTTTAACAGCTTTATTTTCAGCCCAGGTTGTCTTCATTCTGACTGACAAGTTATTTTAATGGAATTCTTTCCATACTGTAATTACAGAAGAGATAATTACTGTTAAGAAGATAAATATAAGAATAGTGCTGTAATAAAACAGGTACCTRGGAGACTTCTAGAACCTCAGAAAGGCTAATCTGAGTTACTTTATTATTCCCAGTTGACAAAAACGTTATAAGACGTGACAGCATAGTTGCTGATCCAAAGTGTATTGAAGTCAATGGAAAGATTCCCATTGAATTCAGTCTGGATTGGAACCACAATAAATGCTGTAATAAACTTGGATCCACTGACCTAATGCAGCTTGGAAAACAATGCCTGCTT